AATTAAATGAATGTATTTTGTAACCTCTAATATCAAATAAAAATTTCTATAAAGAAAGATAATCTACTATTTTTTTTTAAAAAAAATCAGTGTTAAATAATAAGATTTTTTGTTTAAAGGTAGATAGTCCGCACCTTTAAAATAAAATAATAAAAGTGAGATAATTCACTCACTTCTAAAAAAAATAGAAACAGTAAGTTAGAGCTCTTGTCAAACTATCAAGGACATGAATCTTAAAAAAAAAAAATCTTCAATACACTCTTATGTCACTGAAAGGAACTAAAAAGTCACTCAAAGATGATATGATATTCAACTAGAATAACTATTGCCAAAAACAAGAAGACTAAAAAGTCTTGAAACAAGTCTAAGGACTAAAAAGATATTGATAAGAGTGAAGAATGCTTCACTCTTGCCTCCATATATATTCTTAAGTAGGAGTTACATAGCGATGTCCTATAAGACCTCCAAAACGTGTTGACTTTACAAGACACGTATCTTAACTTATAAAGCAAGTTTTCTATATGTATGCCACATAGTTAGCTTATTCCATAAGCTATTAATACGTGGTTAACGTATTGACTAAGTTTCTAACCTATCAATCAAGTACAAATACATACAAAGTCAAAGCAGCATCTATAAAGCTTTTAGGAAGCTTCTTTAAAAGGTATTATAAAATTAATCTATTTTTATTTACTTTTTTATTTCTATATAATTATATAGGTATTTATTAGAATGTCTATGTATACCTATGACAAGCACATTCTTCTACTCATCAAGCACCTTTCTTTGTCAATTATGGTTATCATTTACAACTTGATCTTTTTGACTTTTGAAAAATTAATAAACTTGTACCGAAAGATTTGGCAAATCATTTATCAGAGCTATATGCAATAATAAATACATAGTTAAAGAGAATTCAAGAATGAAAAAAAATCAATGCAGATGCCTATCGCAAGGAATAACTAGAATTCAATGTAGATGAAAATGTATAATTACTTTGTCACAATATGAAGAATACTTATTTTTGTAACAAGTTGGACTATTGTAGGCTTGAATCTTTTTCTATTTGTAAATAAGTCAATTCTATTGCTTATAGATTATATGTACCATAGTCTATAAAGATCTATTTCATATTTAATATATCATTTTTTGAGCCATATAAGACAGTAAATAACTTGAGAAGAATACAAATGCCACTTCTTCTTATAAAAAAAAGATAATAATCAAGAGTTTGACGTAGAAGAAGTCTTAGATTTAAAGCAACATCAAAATAGATTGGAATATTTTATTTATTGGCATAGATATGATATTAGTGAATGCACATAGAAGGTAATAAAGAATCTTGTAAATGCAACAAAGTAAATTAAAGCTTTTTATTCATGACATCCGTCAAAACCAAGATGAAGAATAGCAGGATCTATAAAAAAATGATGAATGTTCTTTATAAAACTTGTTTCTAAAAGAAAAGGAGTAATGTCACAAACATACATATTGACTTCAATAATTATCTATATAATTAGATAGAAGTAGGTAAATATAGATCAATTTCATATATCATCTAAAAAAGCTTCTTAGAAGCTTTACAAATGTAGTTTTAACTCTACATGTGTGTGTAGTTGATTGATAGATTAGAAATTTGATTAACAAGTTAATCACATGCCATATATCTTAGTAGCTTATAGAACAAGTTAACTATGTAATGCACATATAAAAAACTTACCTTCCAAGTTAAAACATGTGTCTTGCAAAGTCAACACATGTTGGATGTCATGTAGAATATTGCTATATAATTCTTAGTTAGATAGTACATATGAAAGCAAGGATAAAGTCTTTTTCACTATTTTCAATGATTTTTTAGTCTTTATTCTTGTTTTAAGATTTTCTAGTCTTTTTGTCCTTAGCAATAGCCATTTTAGTTTAATATATTATCATCTTTGAGAGATTTTTTAATCTTTTTAAGTGACACAAGGGTGTATTAAATTTTCTTAATTTGAAATCTAAGTCCTTGATAGATATTATGTGAAAGATTAATGAATAGAGGTATATTACAAATATTAATTGAAACATAATTGAATAGATATTGTAGTTATCATAAATATTATAGCCTACTAAGCCATCATATGGCTTAATAAATCAAATATCTATATGTCAATAGTTAGACTAATTGTTAGTATATTTGCATTAGAAAGTTCATGTTATTAAACCATGGACTTACAGTATATAAGAGCTTAAGAGAGAGGTTCATATTAAGTGGTTTTAATTCACTTTTCTTCACATATTTTTACTCTTATTTTTAATAAATAAAAGCTTTATCTTTTCATTACATATACAAATAATCTTATATTTATAATTATTTAAAGTGAACTAATTATACATAAAAATAATTATAAAATATAATTACAAAATGTACCTATAATAGAATTATTATATCTATTTAGTAAATTTAATTTAATAAGTAATTATATATTATAATTACTTATTATATAATATATTTTTTTAGTATTAAATAAGTTTTTAAATAAATGATTTATAAATTTAATAAATATTATTGAAAATAAATATCTTTAATTTATAATTTATATACAAATATATAAAATGTTTGATGTAGTAGAGATATTTAATATTAAAAAATAATAAAATATCTATCATTCTATCTAATTAATATATAAAATAAGATTTATAAATTTTATTAATGATATATATTTTTAAATTAATTTATCTAAAAATAGATTATATATCATATTATATAAATTAAATCAATAAAATATATGTTAAAAAATTTAAAAAATATATATTAAGACATGCTTGACAAAAACAAAAATAATAATAATAATAAAATAAAATAAAATAAACAAAAAAATACATCAAAAAAAATTCTAATCTTTTAATTTTTTCTTAAGACAAGTTTTTTTTTGCTTATCTTTATAATCTTAAGATCTTTAACTTTAATTTTCTTATTGCAGTTGTTGGACTAATAATAGGAATTATCAAAAACTTTATTAATATTTGTATATTCTCAAGATGAATTAAATCTTATAAACATCAAATATACAATGTCTTCTTTAAGCTATATTTAAAATCTTTTAAAGTTGATTTAGAGCCTTTTATAAGATTCTAAAACTTTTTAAATTCTTTTAGTAGATTTCAAGAACCATCTATTATTTTGAAGTCTTCTCAAAGCTCTTATAATTATCTTTAGTTATCAAAAGTTTTTTATTTTTTTTATAATATTTAATATCAAATTCTTTGAATGCCAAGAATACACCATAATTGTTTAAAACTTCTTCTAAAAACTTCTATTGAATCTAGTTGTTGTATTATATACAAAGAAATAAGACATGGAATATCTAAATTCTATCAATATAATATTTAGAAAAACTAAAATATTTTATTATTTAAGATTATAACTAGTTTTATTTTAAATTTAGTATCTTATTTCTTTTATGCATCTTAATCTCTTAATTTTCTATTTTTTTATACATGAAAGATATATAATTATAACATCATTTTTATTATTAAATGTTAGATTTAATATGAATTATTTTGACTATGATCTTAATATATGTAGTCTTTATGAATCAATTGTTCTAAAAATTACTATATTTTTTGTTTTATTCAAAATTAAAAATATATAGTAGTATTCATTCAAATTTAAAATTATATATATAATAAATTTTTATAATTTCTAAAATTTCTAATTTTTAAATTTAATATTTTTATTATTTTTATAATTTTTATATGTATATATATGTTTTTAATTTAATAAAATATATATAATTTAAATAACTTAAGTTGTTAATTTAAATGATATAGAATAATATTGCATGATTTATATTTATATTTATATATATATATATAAGAAAAACATAAAGCAACCCAAATTTTTACTAAATCAACCCACATACTCTATTCCTAGTCTTTCCCTTGTTTCCACATTTCCAACCATTGTCCCTATTTCTAAAGATTTCAAACCCCCAACCTCCATCTTTAGTAATAATTAAGAATAGGAAATGGCTGAGAAAAGGGATGGGGGCTCCAAAGGTGCAATGATGCTTAAGATAGAGAGGGTTACTTTAGTAAAAATTTGGATTGCTTTATCATTCTCCATATATATACAGATGGTATTATTAATGCGGCTACAATTTTTTGTATTACTACCACATTCAACCACATACTTGACATATTTATTTGTTTTTTTATTCTAATCTTTTTTTTAACACTTCTAATATGTATTTTTAAAATTATATTAAAAAAAAATAAAATTTTAATAAAAATATTTTATGGTGGAAATAATAAAAATTATAGTAGTATATGGTGAATGACAAAATTGTAGTGGTATTAATAACACTCTATATCTAAATATATAGACTAATAGTTTGTATATATATATATATATATATATATATATGTATATAAATTTCTATTATTAGATCATTTGATGATTTAATTTTTTGAGTTATAAACTTAAAAGAAAACTTTCATGATTTTTTATAATTGAGTTTTAAAAAAATACACAAATTATAACAGAAGAACATTCACCTACACATTTTTAAATAATCATATAATTTAATTTTAAAAACATAATTTTATCTAAAAATATATTATTATTATTTTTTCAATAGTAGTTACGATTTTGTTTAAGAAAATAAATTAAAAGTGGCTTTGAGGTTTGGTTTTCACAAGGATTCCCACGATGAAAACGCAGATGATTCATCCCATCCACGGGTGGAAAATGCGTCCAAGAGATGAAAAGCCACGTCACGGGAGGAGGCCCGCCGGAATAGACCCCCGATGTGAAAGAGCTGGATGTCATCTACGACATCCGAATCTATCCGACCGCCATCTCCCCTCCTTTGTCGCCATTAACGGACGGAATCCTCTAATGACGGAACGAACGTGCAGACTCGACTGAAAATGAACTTCCCTGGACGGAGACTAAATTCGTTCGTCACGTTTCCGTCGACTCCGTCAGTTTCTTCCAGGGGAAGACGGAGACGAGGGCATTGCTGTAGAAGTTTATGAGCTTTTGGAGTCGATGCTGTTTTGCTGTGTGTTTTTCGAGCTCGAGGGCTAGGCGAGTGATAGCCGGCGGCCTTCGGCACAGCTTCTGGAAGGGGTTTGACCGAGGAGAAGTGGCGTCGTTGCAAGAAGCGGTCGCCGGCGCACTTTGTAGCGTAGAAAACAGTTGAGTAACGAGGGTTTTAGGCTTGGGGTTGCTGGTAGGGTTCGAGGAGGAGGAGTCGGGAGGGTGGAGGGAGGGAGGGTTCATCTGCTTCAAGATGCGAAGTCCTGGTGATTGCGAGTCCTGGAAGGAGGGAAAGCGTTATGCGGTCCTCTATTCCTCATCGCGCGTTGTATTTATTTCGTTGTAGGGTGGAGGGGGTTGGAGGGCCGTTGTTTTTTTCACTTGCTTGATTGATTGGTTGGTTGAGAAGTGGAAGCGTAGCTGTGCTTTTATTTATTTTTTGTCCAACGCTGACGAGTGTTTTACGAAAGAGGACTCTTCAGCGGGTATTCTTTGCGACAACATGGAGGGGGCCTCGATGTCGACGAATCCGCGGACGGTGGACGAAGTGTTCAAGGACTTCAAAGGGCGGCGATTGGGAATGCTGAAGGCTCTTACTGCCGGTAGGTCCACAGGGATGTTGCGTTTTTTTTCTTTCTGTAGTTGCTCTGTGAGAGGTGCAGTTATTGACCGTGTGCAAGGAGTTGGTAGTCACATTGCGCGCGTTAGTGCGCCTCTGTTTTGGTTATGCCAGAGCATTGACGCAATAGTGCACAGACGTATCCCATCTGCTTGACTTTTTCTAATGTCATGTTTGTTGGAAGAACGTCACTTTTGGCCAGTCGGACGCTGATGGCTTTTATCGCTGGATTGCTTAGCCCTTATTTACCTGGATTCCTTCTTGTTCGATATTTTATGATAAAAACTGAAATTGATTTGTCTGTATTTCTTTTCGAACGATTGTTTCGTGTTTTTCTTTCTTCTTTTTAATTTTTTTTCTTTGTGGCTGTATGTCTCATACATTGACATCTTTGGTCTGTTCTTGCTCTTGTCTTGCAGACGTGGAAGAGTTTTACCGCCAATGTGATCCAGGTGCGAAATGTGTACAAAGAGCTAGAAGTAATAAGTGCTAGTTGAACTAGATTTTTTTTAGTAGGGTACGGTATTGACACGGTGGAATTGTAATTTACGAAATCTAATGTGCAGGCGTCGTCGTCTTCACTAATTTGATTTTATATTATCGCATGCGTATGATCATGAAATAACGTTATTTAGCAACGTAACGTGTTTCTCTTAGAAACCTCTGAAAGATTGAAGACCATCGGACGAAGTTAGCCGGATTTTGAAATATATGTGTCGCATTGCCGTGGATGTGTGAGGTGGTGAATTAGTTTGTAGGTAGTGGAGATTACACAAAAATCCTATTCGTTTTCGTAGGGCAATTTTGAGGTAGTTGGTGCCATGTGTTACATCACTTAGCGCTTTGTTATGTGAGTTTTAAATGATTTTTATTTTTCCAAATTGCAGAGAAGGAGAATTTGTGCTTATATGGTTTTCCAGAAGAAGCATGGGAAGTAAATCTACCAGCTGAAGAGGTTCCTCCTGAACTTCCAGAACCTGCTCTTGGTATCAACTTTGCTAGGGACGGCATGCAGCGTAAAGATTGGTTGTCCTTGGTTGCTGTGCACAGTGATGCCTGGCTGCTCGCTGTTGCTTTTTATTATGGTGCCCGGTTTGACAAGAACGAGAGGTCAGCTATCTGTAACTGTTCGAACGCTCTTTTTCTGTCTTTACTCTACGTGAATGGTCGAAGTCAGGGTTGTTAGGAGCTTACTTAGCCCACCTATACTTTGGCTCCAATACTAATCTGAATTTACTGCATTAATTGGGTCATGGTGTTAATGTTCGCGGAGCAAGTTCATTGTTTGACCTCTTCTTTCCTCTCTGTAGAACAAGGGAATACTCCTTTTTTTGTGTTTGTGTGTGTAGGTTTTATTGCTATTTTTCTATCTAAGGAGGATATTATGGTATCTCTTACAGGAAGCGTCTCTTTAATATGATAAATGAACTCCCAACAGTATTCGACGTAGTGACAGGAAAGAAGCCTGTGAAGGACAAGCCTGCTGTTAATAATTCCTCTGGCACCAAAACCAAGTCCGCTACGAAGGTGGTGAGTGCTGAAAAAGTAAATACCCAACCATCTTCTGATGAGTGTGCGGACTTCTTGTTTCTTTTCAAAGATCCTAGAGCTTGTTGTTAGAAGGTTCAGGAGTGAGGTATGTATACAAAATCTAAGGAACAAGGAACTCGAGATTGCGCCCCTTTTGCTCTTAAGTTTAACTCAAGGACAACTCCCCTGAGCTCTAGTTCTTGCATTTGGAATGTATTTGCACTGCATCAAAATACGAGTTCCCAGTCCTCATGATCAGGCATGCTACGAGCAGACCTTTTATCATCTCTGCAAATATGTCTCACGTATTCAAGACAGCTGTGATTAGATGTTGACGATGATTGCTTTTCCTATTGTCTTCCAGGAAGTGGCTCAAGCTAAGCCTGCCAAGCCTGTTCCACCAATTCAAAAAGATGAGGAGGACGCCTTTGATGACGAGGATGAGGAGGAACATGGTGACACCTTCTGTGGAAGTTGCGGTGGGCCTTATACTGCTGATGAGTTCTGGATCGGCTGCGATATCTGTGAGAAATGGTTCCATGGCAAGTGTGTGAAAATTACACCGGCAAGAGCAGAACATATTAAGCAATACAAGTGTCCATCTTGCAGCAACAAAAGGGCCCGTACGTAATTTATCAGGCCACAGTTTCTTCCTTATGCTAGCCCCTCGAAGAAAGACCATTCAAAAAAGTCACCCTTGACTTCCTTCTAGACTGGTGTGTTTGATAGGCTCTAGTGCAAGCAGCTGGGGGGCTAGACTTGGTGCTGATGAGATGTCGTTGGTTGCATTTGGAAAGCTTGAGGATCCATCATTCTAATTGCCTAGCTTCAGCCGAGGTACCCACTTGATTGTTGATCAGGTAGTTTGCAGGATAAAGAATACAGGTACCGTGGGACTTGTGTGCATTTTTCTGCACATGTTGAGAGTTTGGCCAATGGTTAACTTATCACTACACTTCGTTGTTAAGGGTAATGTGATATTGCGTGTCATTATTTTCTGCTTTCTGGATCTGCATCTTCCACTGTGCTGAGGTTTCCTCTACAGCACCTAGGTTTTCAAATTATGGTGATATCAATTTCTAAAGATGAGATTTCATGGCTTATTGCTGGGTGGTGCTCATGCCTTAGCTTATTTTGTGTATGTTAAGATCCAGCAGTTTGTCATTCTCTGCGTGTCCTCCGGATCTACTCATGTCTTTACGTAATAACAAAGGAGGTGTTGATGTGAATGTGCAGTATCTGTTTGAGGTGGCCATGGAAGTCCCAACAAGTCTGGAGATGTAGTTGGTTTTAAGTGTTTGTGGTTTCGCAGATGCTAGAATCATTTGCACTTTTATTGTCAAATCTTGAGCGTTTTTTTTTTTTTTTTTTTTTTTTTTTTTTTTTTTTTTTTCTCTCCCTAATTTGGGTTCGGCTGTTGTGTAGAATGATACTCCATGTTTTTGGAAGCGTGTAATTTTGTGTTATGAAGTTACTGCACAGATTGTCTTTTGTTTTTTTCGACTTTTGATCTTCTGTCAGAATGTAGAACAGTTAGAGAAGTCAAACCTTTGAATTGCATTTGCCAGTGTGGCACGGATGTGATCCTGCTTAGTGAAGCAACGTGTGGTTTCCTGGAACGGCTTGATATGAAAAGGTGTACATACTTCTCTCTTCCTTCCCTCCCTTTCTCTGCCCATCTCTCATTCTCTCGGTTGATCGTCACTCTTTTCTTTAGTGTTGTGGTCTTTTGTACGGAAACAGATCAATGAATAAATGCAATCATTTATAACACTTATCATCTGTGTTTTTATATGAATTGAATAGAATTGAGTTAACCTAGCAAAGTGGATGTGGGTGTTCACTTACGAACCATGTTGGGCCTTAAAACTTCATCGACGATGTAATGGTCTCTCGTACAGGATACGTCGTTCCTTTCTGTATTGACGGATTACTGGCTGCAGGCTGTTTTCATGATTCTGTATCTGCCCAGCCTCCAGAATGTACCGTGCATGTGAAGTTTACCATTTTGCAGACGCAGCTGAAATCTTCAGCTGTAGTCGAAACAATTAAGACGTAATTATCCCACTATTGTTGTGCTTTATTACATGTTTCTGATGTCGGGTGCCATCGGCAGGAAGGCCTTCGACTTCTTCCTTAAACTCTTTCGCATCTTGGTGTTTTGAGCTCTCGAGCGGTCTGTCTGAGATTGCATCCCTGCTTTCGAGCAGTGCATGTGGATTTGGATTATTAAAAACAGCCTCAAATGCAACTAAAAATCGTCCAGGATTACTTCCACGAAATCATCCAGACCTTGAGGAATTTGGCTCGAGTGGTTTTCTGTTAATCGAAAAGAGGCTTAATCTAGTAAGTGGGCCTCCAGCTCCCAGATCTTTCTTTCTGTTCAATCTTATGTTCGCACTTTTGGAGGAGCGATCTGCCCTAATCTCTTCCAGTGCCATGTGCATCAACCATTCTTTCAGGTAAAAAAACACAAGGTTTTCGGGTGTTGCGTCGAAATTTGTGTGCAATCAGAACAGAGGAAGTAAATAATGGCCCTTCAATTAACAGTACTATCATGACTCATAGAGCTTTGAGACTCTGGATTTCAATTACTGAGAACTGGAGGGTGTTTTACAGCCGCAATTTTCCATTTTCTGGAGTCTAAAGAATTCCTTCGTAAGCTTACTGTAGCTCCAGAAGTCTCCCAGCACTGATGTATAAACCGCGCACCTCCCCTCGCCCACCTCATTCAAAATGTGAACGATCAAAGAGATTGTTCAAAAGGAGTTCCATGGAAATCTCGCATCAACAGTGTCGAGGAAATTGAGGTTATGTGTTTCAGTGCACACGTTTGTGTACTTGTCCATTACGTGTACAACTCTGGATTAAAGCAGGAGAGGGACTTGGCCTGGTTTTTCACATGGTGATTGTGGTACAAAGTGATAATCAGTTTCGTGGGTTGGATTCTGTCTCTCCCAGTCACCCATTCTGAGCCCTAATTGCAGATTTATTGTGTTACAGACTTTCTTCCTACAGACTTCCGTTCAGTCTCAGTGAGTGCCTCTTTCGCTGTCTACAAGCGGAGCAGCAACGATTAAGACCTCGCAGTGCCAACAATGGCGAACAGGGTTTCATTCTCGGGATATAGCAAAATCGCAGCGGCGAATTTATCGTCGAAAAGAGAACGTTTTAAGTTTGCAAAACGATGGAACCGTGTGAGCTCGCAAGGCTCGTATCCACAGCGAAATCTTGGAAGCTGCCTCCCGAGCTCATGACTACTAAAGAAAATTGCCAAGCCGGAGGATATAGAACGTACGAGAAACCTGGCTTAGTGCTCTGTGTGGCCTCGACGAAGTTAACTCAGTAGTTTTTGCAGAACGGAAATCAGCCACAACATATGCGACACCTTGGAGATTAAGGCTGCTCCAGAAGTCTGAAAACTCTGGCATATCAACTTGTAATAGTCCCGATGCTTTGTGATCAATTTATCGAAGGGTACAGGGTGAGGAAAACTTCATTCCATAGCATCCGAGAGATGTGGGAGTGTCAGAATGGTGCAATTGTACGATTGGTTAAAAGTTGGAAAGAGAGAGAGCAAGGCGCATTAGGGTTTCGCAATGTGGCGGAGGAGCCACACATTAAAAAAAGAAAAATTTGAAGGTGAACGAGAGAACATGGGATCCCACATGACAACAATCATTGCAGACTACTTTTTGTCAGGATCTGTGTTGTGAAACTGCTATTTATGAAGTATCTACCGAAGATAAACGATCTGTCGTTATAGCCAAAGAAGCAAATATCTTGACCTGAGAAATTTTGTGACCCTTAGACATAGTAACAGAGGCTCGGAATAGCAGAAACTCTGGCCCAGGCGAAATACAGGTGGTGGAGGAGCCACTCACTCGAATTGTTTGTCGTCGTGAACTTGAAACCTCGCATCCATCAAGGGGATCGTGACTGAACCAAATGAATGCATCGCGATAACCCTGCCAGGAAATTCGAAGAACCTCAGGAGAGACTTAAAATTGCAACGTCGCGTCATCTGATCTTCAAGCGACATGGCAGCTTAATGTAGGTACTGGTATCAACGTGAAAAGCCCCATGCAGTCATTGTTATTATTTTGCTTTTGACACTTCAACATGGGACACGCAACTCGTGTTAACGCACTGAGGACTTCTCCTCGCGATTAAGACAAAAAATAATAATAATAATAATAATAATCATAATAACTAACAACTAAAAACACTCCAATAAGGAGTTCTTCCGCATTCATGAAAGCAACAACAGCACCAACGCAACCATCCTTCTCCACAACTTTGAAAAACTCGTAACCAATGCAACCACTCAACGTCACATTTTGTGGGTGCGAACCCACGGTGCCCCAAAATTCGCTACGAGTACCCACTTCCACCATTTGTGGCACGGAAGAAAAAGCTTCCTCCCACCATCGCTCACCATGATCGGCTCTTTAACAAACATATCTTCCCTTCAGGCTGACATGGCACATTGCCTCAGCCCACATTCAAAAATCCTGCGCAAATTCAGCACGGACGAAGACGGAGAAAGCAAGCAACGCAACACAGCAACACAACGCAACGCTTGATGAGATTAATAATGCATGCAGACATTCAGAGAGAGGCACTAATAACAGGGCGACGTGGTGCCCAGACAAGCCCGTCTATCTATCTGCGATTGTGGGCGATCCACGGAGAAGCAGAAAATTTGAGCCCCCCAATTGGACCTGAGTGTGTCTGCATCTGCGCCTTTCTCCCACAACTAGTTGCGTCGCTTGCGGCGCAGCTTGCAGCACCGCCACATCCCCGAACAACAACAACCACCACAGAATCCCAGCACGCTCGTAAAACAAATTCTAACTGGAACAACCCACTCTCTCGCTGCACCCGAAACCCTAACCCTAACCCTAAAACTGTACACACATTGTAACCCTTGCCCTGCATGTTCGCTTGTTTTCTTTCTCTTTTTCTTCCTGAATTTTCTTATTAGGATTTTAAACTGTGAAAGGATGGTACGTTATCACTTTGTGTGTGTGTGTGTGTGTGTATATATGGTTTAGTTTCTAGAATCATGACCAAAAGAAGTGATAAAGTTTGATATGACGTAAGTTAAGTAAAAGTGTAAAATAATATTTAGGTTTGCAAGAGGTTCCAAATATGTATTTTTTGAATATGTTATAACAAGATCAAGTTTTTAATCTATTTTTAGATTTGGGTGTCGTGAAATGTTGGTCTGCTTGTGCATGACATACTTATTCTAATTTAATACCGCTTTTTGTACCCAATTCAGTTATTGTAGGTGCGTTTGAATCCAAGTTTAAGCAATTCCTAGTTTTTTTAAAGTAAATTCTTTCTAGCAAGAGATATGAAACACGTTTCAAATTAAAATAAATAAACTATTATCAATTCTACAAAAAATTACTGGAAAATTATCAAGATCAAAATTTGCCAAATACTATCATTCAAATTTGAAATAAAATTTTAATAGAAAACACAAAGAGTACAAATCAAATATAAATATATATGAAAAAAAATGAAAATTTCCAGATTAAAAGAAGGGATATATTTAATTTTCAAAACAATCCCAATGTTATTTTTTAACTATTGTTAGATTTTGGTTGTCATGTTTTTATTTGCAGACTGGTTTTCTAAAGTTTTTAGAATTTAAAATGTTGCCTGAGTCGAAGGTGAGCAAACTGTTGTTTTCGGGAATTGCAACCAAATAGTCGAGTGATTATAGCTTTACTATACAATGTCTGATTTTGTAATCACAATCCAAAACTTTTTTTTGAGTTGCAGTCATCTTTGGTTGTAGTTTATAAAATTACATGCACAAAAACTAATGGTTTGCATTCTGTAAAACTGTGCTAAATGGTCTTTGCACTGCAGATGTGTATTTATAAAGCATCCAGTGTATACAAATATTCTTAAAATAATAAAATAAAATAAATAAAATCACTGCAACCTCAAAAATTATTTTTATAAAAAATCAACTGGGTGAAATCCTCAAAC